TGTTTGTTTGAGCTGAGACGGAGATTGGGGGGGGGGGGTGCTTATTATTCTAAGAAAACATATCTAATGGCAATATGGCTCCAATGGAATTAGGGCATGGCCATGTGTCTGTGCTTTCTAGAAATCTCCTCTCATGGGTTTATATTTCTCATCTCTCTATGTAACTGTGGAAATGAAAACAAACAGGTCAGCAATTCTTATTATGTTTCTTCTTAAGAACATAAAAGTTATGAAGGGCTAATATAGAAGAAAATAGATTTAAATTCTATTAAAAATATCACCTTATTTTCTTATATACTTAGTACTTTCAGTTCATCACTAGTGGGAAAATCTATTTCACCAGAACAATTTTAAACTTAAACCAAACTGCCTTTTAAACTTGTCATGGTTTCTTCACTCAAGCCAGAGCTATACATCTGCACAGCTTCTGCGTCATCAGATTATTCCCATCTCACCAATCTCATGTGCAAGCCGGGAGGAGGGGGAGAACGGTTCTCCCTCCAGTGCTACTGGAGATGTTTACTCCACTCTGCTTCAGGAAAGGAGATGAAAATACTGTTCTCCTTTGCAGCTCTCTGAGAGGTAACTACAAATAACAGTAAAAGAAGCCAGTTCTCCCTTCCTTCAGTTTTCTTTTTTTGAGAGATAAATTACTAGGTAAATGCTATTATAGAAGTATTTCAACATTAAAAACCTTCCGTCTTGCTTCGTTTATTTAAACCCTGGAGCATGTTTGTTGTTCTTTCATTTGATTCATCTCGACATCCTCTCTGTAGTTGATTTAAATAAATCAATGGCTTGAGGAGATTAACCCAAAGCTTTTGAAAGACTCTGACTTAGGAATTATGGTTTAAGCACAAGCTATGGTTGAGAAAAATGAAAGGACACTATAAGCAAAAAATTCAAACCTGTACTCATTAAGATAGAGATTTATGTAAAACAATTCCAAACACACAGGAGTCATGGAACTCAAAGGCAAATAATCCTTCTGCAAGCTTTGATTTCAGGATTATTTCCTGTCCTTTAACCACTGGAATGCATATTAGACAAACCCCACACATGCAAACATATTAAAGGGCAAAGTGATCTTTGGTGAAGAAGGTAATTATTTACTACATATGGGCCTGATTGACTAACCTTGACTGTATATGTGGAGAGATAAACTTCACGGATACATTATGTAATTACAATTACTCTAACAAGTGACACTCCAAGCAGTCCTTATGGAATTCTACAGACCAACCACCAGGATGTAACATGATAGTTTTTCTAGGAAAAGTAACCAAGAAGATACTACCCAGGGATTTTTAAAAATTCATTTTTAATGGGCTTTAAGAAGGACTTCTCCACATAGGAGGGAAGTAATTCATAGTAATAAAACTGAAATAATAATAATAATAATCAGGCTTTCCCAAGTAATGAGAGCTCTTAAGGGGCCATTTTTTTGTTGTTTTGTTATATTTTTGTTTGGCTATAAAGCATGTGTCCTTGCCAAAGAGAGACAGAGAGAAGCAAAGTGAGAAATCACCATCCAGGGGGAATGGCCACATCACAATCCATTCCCCCCGCCCCCAGTCTCCTCTTAGGATTTTGGGCATGCACACACATACACCCAGAGTGTTTTTCAAGCCGCCAGGTCTGGGGCTTGAATATCATAATCGGTCATGTGGGATTCAGCTGCCTTAACCACCACGCTGCCTGCCGGCTTGTCCATTAAAACAGTAGTTTTAAATTTCCTTTTTTAAACATATCAATGTGAACTGACTGCTGAATCCCATAAGGTTTTTCTGAAAGCCAGAAAGAAAAAAAGCACATTGTACCTTGAAGAAAAAGTGATCCTTGTAAGCACTGCCACTTAAAATCAAATCCTCAAAAAAACAAATACAGGGAAAAGTTTTTCATTAAAATGTCACAAACTATGTGCTTAATGTGGCTTAACAAAATAGAAAATCCTTTTGTGAAAATTTCTTGAAATATTTTGGCAATTTTTCTGAGGCTACCTTCTGAGTCAACTTATAAGCCCATATATAGATACTGTTGATATAGAAAATTGGTCTTTTTTTTTTTTTTGAGAGAGAGAGATTTTTTTTTTGCTATAGGGCACATATGCTTGCTGAAGACACAGAGAGACAGAAGGCAAAAAATCACTCTGGGGATGATGGCCACTCTGCAATCCATTCTCCTCTCAGGATTTTGGGCACGCATGCACATACACCCAGTGAGAGTTTCAAGTCACCACATTCGGGACTCAAACCATGGTCGACCACGTAGGAGTCCAGCACCCTAACCACCACATCACCTGCTGGCCCCGGTTTATTATCTTTTCAGGAAGGGTGGAGAAACAAAAAATGGTGGGACCAACAGCATAATGGCTATGTCGCTGAAGTCCCAGGTAGTCGACCGTGGTTCAAGTCCCGGACCCAGTGGCTTAAACTCTTGCCGGGTGTGCGTGCGTGTATGCCCAAGATCCCAAGAAGAGAATGGAGGAGAAGGGATTGTGGTGTGGCCATCCCCTCCCCCCCGGGGGGTGATTTCTCACTTTCTATCTCTCTGTCTCTCTCTGTCTTTCTGGTGAGCGCACACGCCCTGTAGGAAAAACCTCTCCAAAAAAAAAAAAAAA